TAACTAAGGTTATTTAAACTCATAACCTAAGAAGTTGATAGTTATAAGGACTTAGAGGACATAGAGTCAAGACAAATATCTCTTGGAGAAAATGGAAGAGAAAAGAGAAGAGAAGAGAAAGGGGAAAATCAACTAGAAACTTGGAATATTCGAGAGAGGGTTCAAGGATTAGAGCTCAAAGTAAGTATAAAGCAACTCAATTATCCCTAAACTACCTTGAATTGATTATTAACAAGTATTTAAGTGAAGCTTTTCACCCATATAAATTAGGGTTTTGGATTAGAGAATTTAAATGAGACAATACCCATAGGAATTATCAAGGTTCATTATGTTTCCTTAACTTTTGGGTTAAATTTTAAAGCAAAGGTTGCTTTGAGTTAGCTTAAGAAGATTCATCTTCTAATCTTCAAATTTTGCCTATTGTATCTATTCTTCTATGTGTTTGTAGCTCTTTTGGTTCACCATGAAGAGATAAATGAGCATCAAGTTGTATAAATTCCCTTTTACATGAGTTATGACTTAATTACTTATGAAATTCATGATTAGTATGTTTACATGTTGGAACAATGAAGGAATTTTGCTTATAATTATGTCTTGAGGTGCCCTTGGAAAGTTGAGATTTTGTTGAATTTCGGACTGCTCAAAACAGAGCCTACGACCGCATGTGCGGGGCCCATGGCCGCACGTGCGGGGCTCACAGCCGCACGTGCGAAAAACAGGGGAGCCTGAAGATTGCATTTTGAAATAAAAGCACGTGCGGGCTGCACGTTCAGCGCACCTTCCCGCACGTGCGGCTAGAGGGGAAAAATTCTGTTGACTTTTTTCACCCCTCTCGACCCTCCAAACGCGTTAAAATGTCCATTTGATTCTTTTGTAAAATTAATAATTAAACAGAACTTAACGAGTCGAACAATAAATAAAGAAGAAAAGACTAAAGAAGAAAAAAGTACTTACAAATGTGTGCTATGTGTAGGTTCCATACCGGAAGAGGCCGTCGTGCAATAACCCCACAGTGAGTAATTATAGTGTAAAGTTATGTTTTTCTTATCGCTATGATCATGCTTTTGTTTATGAATAGCATATGTGATGAATACAGTCATGTGAATGGAACTAACTGAGAACGTGGCACAATGTCACTACCATGGTCTCAAGGTCGTTGAGAACCTTAGAATAAAGGTGGGCCCAAGGCCGTTACGATATGAATTGTTTATGATTTATGACATACGGCTCTAAGACCGGGATAGATAGAGACATGTCGATGTTCCATCTACTTTGTAACAATATGGATCACATGTGACCAATGGGCGCTAAGGCCAAAGGAGATGGGGACATGCCGATGTTCTATCTACCCTACATTATTCTAGACAGCTGTTGATTGGTTGCGCTTAAAACTATTCCATACTGTGTTGGGCCTAAGGCCGTTTTGTATCTTATGTGGGTCTGAGGCTGTTTTGTATTAAATTATGGGCCCAAGGCCATTCTGAAGTATGTTTATAAATGAGACCTGTACCATGTTCATATATAGTCTCTAACTCTCATGCTTATTCACTTACCTTCTCTACATTACTATTATTCACTGAACCTTGCTCACTTCGTGTTTTTGTATGTATATGTAGGTAATCAACGTGGAGGACAACCCTTGGTCGGCTTCAGGAGCCCTTTTTGCTGGACCTATTTTGTAGTGTACTTGAATGGGCTTTTATTTTGTACTTGGGACCTTTTGATTCATTTTGGGAAGTCTCGTATGTGTAATGGCATGTTTTGCTAGTCTTGGGTGACTTGTCTTAGTTGTTTTAAAAACTTAGCCTATGGGTTGCTACCCTTTATATATAAATGTACATGTATGGACTCAACGTATAGAAATGGTATGTAATGTGTCATGATCCTGGCATGTAGACACAGCTCAATGGTTGTTTTATTTTGATATTATATTTGCTTCTGTTCAAGCCCTATATGTAGTATAGTGATGAAACTTTAAATCCGAGGCTTAATTTTCAGGCTGGTCAGGCTCAAACTTTTAGGGGCAAGTTTGGGTTATGGCATTGCATTTGTCCAATGTGACACGCGAACTACTGAAGCTGTTGTCTCAAGTACTATCTCTACATGTAATCAAGATGCTTTTATGTTAATTGATTCCGGCTCAACACATTCCTTTGTGTCTACTATATTTGTATCTAGATTGACTAGATCCCTAGAATCATTGCCATATTTACTATTTGTATCTGCTCTATCTGGGGAATCTGTATTATGTACATCTGTGTATCGTGTTTGTGACATGCGAATTGGCAATACTATCTTATATGTAGATTTGTTACCCTTGGACATTTGATACTTTGATATAATTTTGGGTATGGATTGGCTATTGAAATATTGTGCCCCTATCAATTGTGTGACAAAACGGGTTATGTCTAAACCACCAGGGCATGTTGAATTTTAATTTGTGGGTAATGGGGTAGTGCCTCCACCTTATTTGATATCTGCAATAAAAGCATGTAAATTAATCAGGAAAGGATGCCAGGGTTACTTATGTAGTGTATTATCTGAACAATCTGTGACTGTTAAATTGGATAATATTTATGTGGTCCAAGAATTTCCAGATGTGTTTCCCGACAAGGGGATTGGTGGACAGAGAGATAGAATTTACTATTGATGTTATCCCGGGCACCCAGCCCATCTCAAAACTTCATATAGAATGTCCACTACTGAGATGAAAGAACTAAAAGAACAGTTGTAAGACTTACTAGACAAAGGGTTTATATGACCAAGCATTTCGCCATGGGGCGCTCCCGTGTTGTTTGTAAAGAAAAAAGACAGAACCTTATGTTTGTGCATTGACCACCGAGAATTAAACAAGGTAACGATCAAAAATAAATATCCATTATCCCGAATTGACGATTTATTTGATCAGTTACAGGGTTCACAAGTCTTTTCGAAAATCGATTTGAGATCCGGCTACCACCAATTGAAGGTGAAGGCAGAAGATGTTGAGAAAACTGCATTTAGAACAAGGTATGGTCACTATGAATTTCTTGTTATGCCGTTTGGAGTGACTAACGCACCTGCAGCATTTATGGACCTTATGAACCAGATTTTCAAGACTTATCTTGATGAATTTGTTGTGGTTTTATCGATGATATTTTGATATATTGAAAGAATAGATTTGAACACGAACAACATTTGAGAACTGTCTTGCAAACACTTAGAGAAAAGAAATTATTTGCTAAACTTACGAAGTGTGAATTTTGGTTGGATGAGGTTGTCTTTTTAGGGCATGTCATCAACAGAGATGGGATTTCGGTGGACCCACAGAAGATAGAAGCAATTATAAATTAGCCAACACCAATAGATGTGACAGAAGTCCGCTGATTCATGGGCTTAGCTGGGTACTACAGAAGATTTATAAAGAATTTTTCAAAAATAGCTGTATCTCTTACCCAACTAACATGCAAAGGACAACCATTTGAATGGGATGATGAAAAAGAGTCTGCCTTCCAAGAACTGAAAACAAGATTGACTACTGCACCGGTGTTAACATTGCCCACAGGTATGGAGAACTTTGTGATTTATGGTGATACATCTTATATGGGTCTGGGTTGTGTATTAATACAGGAAGGACGGGTAATTGTTTATGCCTCTTGACAATTAAGACCACATGAGAAGAACTACCCAACACATGAGCTAGAATTGGCCGTAGTCGTATTTGCTTTGAAAATTTGGCGACATTACTTGTATGGGGCGAGATGCGAGGTCTACACGGATCACAAAAGTTTGAAGTATTTCTTTACTCATAAGGAGTTTGAATATGCGGCAGAGATAATGGCTCGAACTAATAAAAGATTATGATCTTCAAATTCAGTATCACCCCAGAAAAGCCAATACAGTTGCTGATGCCTTGAGCAGAAAATCAACGGGTAGTTTAGCTTGCCTACTTACTAAATAGAAGGAAATCTTGCAAGATTTGAGAATTCCGAAATTGAAATAATATTACATGAGCAAAGCTGGTTTATGGCCGCCATTTCAACTGAACCAACAATCATCGATGAGATCAAACGAAAACAAAAGGAGGATGAAATCCTCAAAAGGATAGTTGATGAATTTGAAACAAAACCGAAACCAAGATATAATATTGTAAATGAAGTGTGGAAATTCCAAAATAGATGGTGTGTTCCGATATCCCTGAGTTAAATAGGAGAATTCTCGATGAAGCTCATAAATCGATGTTTGCTATGCATCCGGGTAACAACAAGATGTATCAGGACCTAAAGCAAAGTTATTGATGGCCAAATATGAAACGTGAGATTGCAGAATATGTGTCTAAATGTCTTCAGTGTCAGCAAGTTAAGGCTGAACCCTAGAAAGTGCAGGTCTGCTCCAACCTCTCCCTAATCCGGAATGGAAGTGGGAACGTATAACCATGGATTTCGTTGTTGGCCTACCTCGGACACCTAAAGGTATGGATTCTATTTGGGTTATAGTTGATAGACTGACTAAATCTACACACTTTTTGCCTGTGAAAATTACATATGATGCATATAGATTAGCCACCACTTATGTTGACGAAATTGTTTGTTTGCATGGAGTTCCGGTGTCTATTGTGTCGGATAGAGATCCAAAATTTGTATCTAGATTCTGGAAGAGTTTTCAAGCAGCAATGGGAACGGAGTTGAGGCTTAGTATGACATTCCATCCACAAACTGATGGACAATCGGAATAGACTATACAGACTCTAGAAGATATGCTTTGAATGTGTGCTTTGGATTTTCAAGGGAGTTGGGAGACTTACTTACCATTGGCTGAATTTGCATATAATAACAGTTTCTACTCCAGCAATGGCATGGCACCATATGAAGCTTTATATGGCCGAAAATGTAGATCTCCAATATGCTGGACTGAAGTTGGGGATAGATTCTTGATTGGGTGAGCTTGTGCAGATAACTACTAATAAAATCAAAGTTATTCACCAAAGGCTTAAGACAACTCAAAGCTGACAAAAGAGTTATATGGATGTTAGGAGAAGGCCTCTTGAATATGAGGTCGGTGATCATGTGTTCATCCGTGTAAATCCAATGAAAGGCCAGTTAAGGTTCGGCAAGAAGGGTAAACTATCACCTCATTACATTGGGTCGTTTCAAATTTTGGAAAGGCTTGGTCCAGTTGCTTATAGAGTTTCCTTACCGCCGAGAACGGAACAAATGCACAATGTGTTTCACATGTCAATGTTGAGGGGCTATCTCCGAGATCCGTTCCACATGATTGACTATCACCGAATAGCACTTGATGAAAATATGGAGTACTTAGAATGGCCAGAACGGATCATTGACCGACAAGTAAAGCAGCTGAGGAACAAATCTATTCCAATGGTAAAAGTGGAATGGAAAGAACATTATGGTAAGGGTGCCACGTGGGAGAAAGAAGAAAAAATACGATAACACTACCCACATTTGTTTCCAACAGAAGGTAACATAAGTTTGGGGGGCCAAACTTCCTAAGGAGGGGAAGAATATGACAACCCAACTCTGGATTATGCTAATTAATCTTAATTATGCTAATTAATCTTAATTATGCTTATAATTATGGGCTTGATATGATTTTGAATACTAATTATATGATTATATGTGTTTGTGAATTTATATCAGTTCACTGTAGGAAAATCTATTTGACTTTCTATTATAAAAATTCCAATTGAAGGCCATAGTGGCGACAAAAACTAAAATTAACGGTGTTTTTGCATTCAACATGATTTTTAAAGCTTACGGTGAAATTTAATAAAAAAATTGATTCGGATCAAAATGATTAGATTAATCTGATTTAATTATGTTCATTTGATTAGGCCAAAGCCTTTATTAGCCAATATGATTAATGAAACCTATATATATACTAATTAAGCACCTAATTCACATTTTGAGCTCATTTTCTCACCTCTTCGTGAAGTTGCACTCTAGAGAGAGAATGAGAGACGGCTCTAGAGAGAGAGAGTGAAGGCAAAATTTGAGAGTTAGGCAAGGAGCTTGAAGATTAAGAAAGATAACTCAAGAACTAGCTAGGAATTGAAAGATTAGAGCTCCTAGGTAAGTAAATGAACTCAAATTCTTGAGTTTAAGTCCATAATTACATGAATTCTAGCATGCTATGTGACCAAGAACAAGAATTCAGCTGAATATGATGAAATTGAAGTTTGTATAGACATGCATGTAAGCTTTTACCATGAATATGTACATTTGAGCTTGTAGCATGTTAAACATATAGAATTAGTGGATAAGTTAGACATGCATCCATGAATTATAGGACTATGGAACTTGGTTGCATGATTTTTGAAGCTATAGAACTCAAAATCATATTTTAATGATGATAGATGGGAGTTAAGTTGAGTTCATGCTTGCATGAGAATTTGAAATGATGATATGCCAACTCATGAAATTCATGTATAAGAAATGTAATTCTACAAGTATTAATGTTCAAATATATGTCTTTGAAGTTTTGGGTAAGTTATGCATGAAATTGGCCTTTGGAATTGAGTTTTGAGCTTCAAATAGAGTTTTGGAAAACCCAGAATCTGACTTGTTCGCTCGAGCGAGGAAAGTGTCGCTCGAGCGTGAAAGTCGAGCTCCCAGAAGTTTTACAGAGATTTGCACAGTGGCTCGAGTGGCAAACTCTACGCTCGAACGAACCCTGTTTTACAAGACTCCCTGGTCGAGCGTCAGAAATCTCGCTCGAGCGCGAAATTCATGTAACTAGTGCTTTTACAGAGTTTTGTAATCCGCTCGAGCGATCAAAGCTGCGCTCAAACGGAGAGCCTTGTTTCAGAAATTTTGAAAAGATGCTTTATGTTTCGTTTTCCGTTCTTTTTAATTTCTAAGCACTCTTAGGCGTTCATTAAACATGCTAAATGAATTAAAGAACCTGAAAGAAGCCTAAGAACATTAAGCAAATTAAAGAACGGATTGAATTGTATTATGACCCACTGTGTTATGAATTATGTAGGGTCAAGTGCAAGGACGAATCAAGCACTCGAACACAATGACTAATGTCTGAGTAAAGATAATTTGTGTATATATTATTCTCTAAATGTTACCTGTGTGGTAAGTTTCTAAGCTTCTGATTGGATACTATGAATGACTATTCTATCCGTTTGGTTCGCACTGAAATATGTGAAGTGAAATATACATGAGTATGAAATGGGCCCAAGGCCGTTCGATTTACTTAAGAAGGATATAAAATGAGCCTAAGGACGTTTTGTATAACTGTTGAATTGAATAGGCCAAAGGCCGTTGAATGGGCCAAAGGCTGTTTCGAATAAGGGAATAATTGGACCTAAGGTCATTTTGAATGTGAAAGTGAATGTGAACATGATCATGGATCATGAGTGCACATAAATGCGAAAATGGACTAGTTGGACCCAAGGTCGTTTTGCGTATGAATTGGATCCAAGACTGCTTTACATATGGTGGACCTAAGGTCGTTTCGCACATATCAGACCGAGGGTCATTTTGCCTATGAATTGGACCCAAGGTCGTTTTGCATGTAATGGGCCAAAGGTCATTTTGTAAATACGAGTTGGACCTGAGGTCGTTTGGTATATGAATATGGATATTGACGTGTATAAGCCCATGAAGGCCATGAATCACTATGAACAACCCAATCCCATCACTTGGAGCCCAATACATAACCCAGCTGGTGAGGTCCAGAACAGCTGGAATCCAACATGACATAAAGAGCCAATGGCATTCAGACACATGGCAGGTGAAGGACGAACCACATCAGCAGACAAAGATCTGCAAAATTATTGCCACTGCACATCACCATTAATGCAGCCCATCACAGCATTTATTGCGACAACACCTCTCCGTTGGAACAGGACCCCCTTACCCTGAACAAGGTAAGCTACAACATAGACTTTCGGCGAGGAGGGCAGGTCGGAAGGGACAGTGAAATGATTACCAAAGGATATAAGCAAACGTCGAAGACAATAAGAAGGTTAAGCTTTTCTATCTCTAATCTCTCCCTCTGCACTCTACTTCTCTTCCTAACTTGCTCGTCGGAGGGTTCACTAGGGGACTACCTAGTTCCCCGTTGAACTTGTTTATAGGTTATCCGGTGGCTTGATCATTTGGACGTGGGCTTGAGGAGCTTGGACCAGTCCGATCCATTCACTAGAACCAATTGTATCATCAGATGGCGCCGTCTGTGGGAAAGACTTTGCTCCGCGCACCAGTTGTGCTCATTGTCACTGGAGACCCTGTCCCAACAACCTTTTCCTCCTACCCATCAAAGTGTATGGTCACGACTAGATCCATGGCTTCTCACAATAATGCTGCCGACCATCAAGCCGACCCCCCTAATCTAAACAACCCACCGCAGTATTTTATCGAGCTTACCAACAACATTAACCGCATGGCCGAGCAAAACCAGGCCCTAATAAATGCTTTACTCCAAAGAAACCTTTCGATGCCTCCTCTACCACCTTCAGATATTCCACCCAACAAAGAAAGAGCCCCGAGCCATACTGTTCCGCAACCCTATCCACCCAACATGGAAGGTTTGCAACATCCTCCCCCACATATAAATCTACCACCTCCACCCCCACACCCGTCGGTTGTAGCACCAGCCCCTGAAGGGGACGCCAGCGTCCAGCCCCCTCTGACTGACCGTAGTGACAACATTCCCTTCTGGGACGCTGAACTCCAAGCAATGAAGCTCCAACTCCAAGGGGTCATGCAGAACATTCAGCATAAACCCTCTACCATGACAAACTCACCATTTGTTGCCTCCATCCGGGACAAACCTCTGCCTGCCAAGTTCAAGATGCCCACCATTGACTCTTTTGACGGTACGACGGACCCAGTCGACCATCTGGAGACCTACCGTACCCTCAGGATCCTCTATGCCTTCCCTGACGAGATCATGTGTCGGCTTTCCCCGTGACACTGAAGGGGTCAGCTCGACTGTGGTTCAGCCAGTTACCAGCAAACTCTGTCTCCACTTTCCAACACCTCAGCGACTCCTTCCTTAGCCATTTCATTGGAGCCCAGCGCCAACGCCGCCCGGCAACCCAACTCCTCAACATCCGTCAGACCGAGGGGGAGTCGCTGCGCAGTTTCGCTACCCGCTTCAACACCGAAGCCCTACAAGTAGCGAAAAACGATGACAAGGTCATCCTCACGGCTTTCATGGCCAGGCTACGATCGTCCGATTTCCTCTTCTCCCTCTCCAAAAAACCCCCGACCTCCATGGCAGCCCTACTCTCCAAAGCCCAGAAATACATGAATGCTGAAGATTCACTAGCCGCCCGACAGGATCCAATAGCTAAAAACCAGACCCCCAGAGAAAAGACTCAGAACCCAGAAACACCTAGTATAATAGCCAAACACCCCACTATACAGACCGACCCTCTCGCGCTGACCGGTTGGCACCAGCCCGACCGCCCAGTCGGTTCGAGCGGTACAACCCCCTTAATTCTCCCATGGAACAAGTCCTCAACCAGATCCAGCGGAACTACCCCCTCAAATGGCCCCCACCTTCACGGACCCCTTCCAATTGGAAAGACCAATCCAAATATTGTCGTTTCCACCAGGACCATGGCCATAACACTGATGACTGCATCAACCTCAAGGATCAGGTCGAGACCCTAATACGTCAGGGCGTCTCAGCCGGTTCACGAACACCTGCCCACAGCAGAGGCAAAGAACCGAGCCCCTCAGAAACAACCGCCGGCGCACCCCACTCCGGCAGCTAGCCCAACCTAACCAAGGCCATGATCGCCCCCCACAACAGCCTCGACCGCCAGGTAATCCCCCTCCACTAATTGGTGAAATCCGAGTCATTTCAGGTGGCCTTGCTTGTGGGGGACCATCCTGCTCGGCTCAGAGGGCAGAACTCAGAAAGATAAGGCAAGGCTCAGACAAAGCAGTTGCCACGGTAGACCGACCCTCCAAACAGCCCAACAGTGGACAGAGCCCATCACCTTCACGGACATTGACTGTACAGGCATCCATTATCCTCATGATGACCCTCTCGTCATTTCTGCCCTCCTCTCCAACTATAAGGTCAGACAGGTTCTCATCGACAACGGCAGTTCTTCAGACATCATATTCCTCAACTGCTTCCACCAGCTCAAGATTGGGGAGGAAAGTCTGTCTCCCCTCCAAACCCCTTTGGTCGGTTTCACTGGCGACGGGGTGACCTCTATCGGCTTCATCGATCTCCCCCTCACCATCGGCGAATACCCACAGCAGACTACCAAGTTGCTCATTTTCCTTGTGGTTGACTGTCCCTCTGCCTACAACATCATCCTTGGTCGCACCACCCTCAACGCTTTCCAAGCTATCACTTCAACCTACCACCTTGCCATAAAGTTCCCTACCGACCTGGGCGTCAGGACAGTAAGGGGAGAGCAGACCGTAGCCAGGGAATGTTATGTCGCCTCACTCAA